CCCCAAAACCCCAAAACCCCAAAACCCCAAAACCCCTTGCCATGAGTAAATAATTGACCGAACAAGGCTAAAACTTCTGGAAATATATGAATATAGAACAAAAGTTTGCTAGTATACGACTTCTAAAGTACAGTTAGACATCAATTTTAGAGCCAAAATGTCTTGCTTTGACTTGCGCATATGCTTGGGTTTAATCCAACGTCAGGGAATTTAGTAGTATTTGAGAAATATTAGTAAAAACCTAAGAAAAAGTTAAATGTATACCCAAAATTTTATAACTAAGAATAAGGATTAGAACGCCTACAATTTCGAATTGCAATGAAGTTATTATATCATGTTCAAGTCAGAAACGATTTTAGCTTTAGTGGTAGGAGCTGCTTTCCTCTCCTTAAATTGTTGAATCAGTTCAGCTAATGGAGCCAGCTCTTTTGAATCAACCAAGTTAAATTGATCAATAAAGTAAATAAAATGCTTGAAGCAAGTGTTCAAGTGGTATTCAGCTCCAAGGTTCATTATGTGTTGAAAGTGGGTATGATAAATATGAGCATACACTCTGAATAATCTCTTGAAAATAACCTTCACTACATTCAGGAAATTCTTCGGGAATGGAACTCCAATCTGACAAGGGAACAAATTCTCATTGTTCAACTGATTCTCCACCCAAGCCATCAGAAAATCAATATATTCTGAAGCTGAAACTTTTAATGGAGTTTTAATGCTGTGGCCGTCAGCCCACAAGTATTCGTACTTTGGTCCAGCAGACATTATTGGACATACCTCAGGTGTACAGAATTCCGTCAGAATTCCATACAAAACATTGATTTCATTATAAAATTCAATGGTATTAACAGCGAGCCATTCGTTCAAGTCTTCTCCAGCAGGCAGTTCAACTGCTAATTGCATATTCCCTGAACCAAGGGTCATTCTGGCAATCTGTTTGAGTCCATATCCCCTAGCTCCCTCCTTGATCTTCTTCTTTTTTCTAAGAGGACATGTCTTGTCAAGCCCTTTGAGAGGTTTCTTTGCGTTCTCAAATACTTTATCCGGGTCCGGACCAGATGATGATTCCATTTTAAATTCAAAATCTAATTATATAATTATGCTTCATTTCTCTATATACCTTTAGGGGTTTTGGGGTTTTGGGGTTTTGGGGTTTTGGGGTTTTGGGGTTTTGGGG